TGTACGGCGGCGTATTGTACGGCGTATAATAGCTGCTTGGCGGCGGCTCGTAGTATTCGCTGCTGCTGTGACAGAAATTGGGCTTTTGTACTAATATATCCATTGTGTTCAGGTTGTGTGTTGGAGTGTGAGGTATTGGGTTATATTTGTGTGGTGCGTTCGCGAGTGCGATTGCCAAACGAATGAGCCGCTCGCCTGCAGACATTCGTGTAATATTGAAAGTTCTGTGCCGATAAGGCCAGACTGCGACGTACGCTTATCAGGCCCCGAAGGCTGTGCACGCAGACAGGCCAACGGGGCCGGCCGGGGCGGGGTGGCAGGTGGGCAATAGCGCACACATAGCCGAGCAACGGCGGACATCCGTGGGCCAAGTTAGTTACGTGTGCGTATCAAAAAAAAACTCAAATGTCAAGAAGAAGCAGACATTCACGAATTCCACGCAGATAGCTCTGAGGGGGGGAGGGACTCTGGCCGGGATCGGGGCGGTATACGGGGCGGCTCACAACCGGGGCAAGTGCACACATCATGTACGTGAGTGAAACACCGTCTGCTCCCTGCTGCGCACCGACGGGTCGGCGGGACGGCGGCGGGGTGGGGCGGGCGCGTGACAAGCGGCTGACTTGGCGCTTATCAGCGAAACGCACTGCTGGAAAATCGGTCTAGTAGCTGGCAGTGTGTATGTGTGTATGTGTGTGTGGCATGTGTGTGGGCAATGATCAGCCGCAGCCGCAGCAGCAGCAGCCTCTGAGGGGGGCAATTCGGTCGCTATCGCCCGTACACGGATTGCACTTCGTACTCTCGGAAACACAAACGAGGCAAGTCACTGAAATCCCCTCCAGCTGGTGGCCGTATTACGTGCAGATAAAGTGCCGAGTCGACTTCGATTCGTATCGGACCCGGGCCAAGTCAGGTCCGGGCCAAGTCTATAGCGTACAATACACCACATGCCTGCCGTATCTCTGCTTTATGCTGAACGATGACGCTGACATTTTGGGCCAGCAACATTTGCCAATGCCCAATGTCTTATCAATGGGCAACTCTGTAGCGTCTCCGCCGTCTGTGTTTACTTTCGTGTATGTTCATTCAGCCGAAGGCCAAAACACCCGAGGGGGGTAACACGGACAGCCATATCTCTCTGCTGTTGCTCCGACGCTCTGCTGGGTGGTTAACTTATCAGCTATATAGCTGGCGCAGTCTGGCCACATTTGATGATAGGAAGTGAATCACAATTCATATGTTGTTGCTGTTGCTGTTGCTGCTACTCCAATCGCGGGGGTCTTACATAAATAACCACTCGGAAATGGTATGACATCAGGGGCTACGATTAGCTTTAGGCGCCTCTTCCATATAAACCCCGCCCCCGCCCGCGACCTGAATCAAGACAATGTCAGACGAATGCAGCAGGTGCAACCGCGTGCTGTAATCGAAGTGCGCAAAAAATCATGATTTATTTTTAGATTAACTTACAGATACGACAGCCAAACGGGCTATCGCCCTATGGACTGTAATTAACTAGAAGGCTCGAAGTACAGTTGTTGCCTTTTTTTTTCTGCCTACGCATTGTCATTAAAATCTGATAAAAATTATCGGACTGAAGTTCATCAGGTTTCCATAAAACAAGCTAAACAATGTTCTTTTGAAAGAAAAGAAACGAGAATTTCATTCAGCCAAAGCCTAACTGTGCCCAATTTATCGCTGTAATATAATCCAATAATCCCGCTTAAGAGTTTATAAGAATATTCCAATATGGGAATTAAAGTAATTACTAGAGTTTGTAATTTTCAATCCGAAAAAGCGCATAGATCTTCTAGTAAAGACTGGTCCATGAGTATAATAATATATATATAATAATAATATATAGTATAATATATATATATAATATATATATATATATAGTATAATAATATATATAATAATATAATAGTCTTCCTGATATAAGAATTTTGGGTTTAATTGTCAATGAGCTTAGGAATGCTTCTAGGAAAATCGAAATATCTATATAATTAATATATTGCGTAAGCATACTGTACTTAGACATTATATAGAAATATCCTAATCCGTTCTGTAAATAGATCTCTAGAAAAGCTGCCTAACCATTGTTTTATACCCTGGCATTGTCGATTCCATGTAATATATTTATTCCTAGATCCAGAATATATCACTTTTTGGCGTCAATAGCCGACTTCAACATTCCTATGTTGAAATTGTGATTGTAGTTCGTCCTTACTAACTATTTCCCATGCTGTGGGACTAAGGGAAGAAGGATATAAAGAAGGAAGCTAGAATGTTAGCGTCTGCTGCTCAGCGAGGGTTCCAGGGTATCTCCTAGTCGGGCAATGCCGAGTCGTACTTATTTTCTTTATTGATCTGTAAAGCTTTGAGCCCGAATTGAAACCAACTTATAGGTGTAATATACATAAACATTCACAATGTCAGGGATTAGAAATATTCCTTGAAACGTTTTTTTTTTTTTAACAATTTATATTTTATTTTTGTTCTCATTGATTTCGACTGTTGCGATCTTCTAATTGATACCCCTGACCCGAATTTATTGCACAACATGCGTAATATTCCGTCAACGAAAATATTTATTTTCCATACACATATATAAATAATACAAATCTGGATTCTCTGGTTCCCCTGAAATCAAAAACTGAACTTTGTATGGCGCGAGCTGCGCCTGATAAGCGACCATATTGGAGCCGAGCCGAGCTCAGCAGCTACCGCAACAACAATTGTCCGGCATCGCATGTCGCCAAACAGCTGCCCCACTACCATGCCCATGTCCAGACCCATGCCCATACCCAATCCTCCAGAGATTAGCAAACAGCAGCGACAGAAATCTCATCTCTTAGAGGTGAACGCGTGCGCCGCAAACTGTTTTATTAATTTTTCCGTAGTAAAATATTCAAAAAAAAAAAAAAAACAAATTAAAAACAATCCCCAGCAAGTGCGCCATATAGAATGCTTGAGTCTGGGCAAGTACAATACACAATAACCGGCTCGATCCGGTTACTTGGGGCTCTGTCATATTATGATGTTCAATATTTCTATCAAATTATAACAACATACTTGAACTGATAGCGCCAGGGGTCTGGCTGGGGCTGGGGCTTGGGCTGGCTAAAGGTGCCAACTCTGGGCGATAAGCCGGAACGAGTCTCGGATTGGGGCGTGTGCGCTCAAGCCGAGTTTCGAGCTGGGCTTCGGCTTGGTCTAGGGGTTTATCAAAGGCCCAGCCTCTCAATTTGCAAGCGACATGATGTTATGTGGGAGAAGTGCGACTAAACTACGGCGCAGAATCTAGAGAATGGTCTAGGCATAGCTTTGCTCCCGACTCTCTTCGAATATTATGGATCCCCTGTCTTCTGAAGCGTGGAATTCCTGGAATCTTAAAGTTTGCGAATGTAAACCTTTGTCCTAAGGTTCTTCGCTTAAACAGAGCTGACAAATCCAACAGCAAATAGTTGTTAGAATAATGTGGAACTGTGCAACACTGTCTTCTACAGCACTAGCCAATAATCCCGGGATTAGATCGGAAGAAAGCAAAGCTTAAAATCCTTGGAATCCTAAAGTTTGCGAATGTAAACCTTAGTCTTAAGGGTGTTCGCTTAGACAGAGCTGACAAATCCAACGGGAAATAGTTGCTAGAATAATCTGGAACTGTGCAACACTGTCTTCTACAGCACTAGCCAATGCTCCCGAGCTAACACCGGAAGAAAGCAAAGCTTTACAGTCAATCATTCGTTTTCAGCAAATGCCAAAACCGGGAAGAAGGCGCCATAAATTTCGTGGACCCCTCGCAGTACACTTGACCCTATCGAAGGCAAACTTTCGTGGAGTCGCTCGACAGCTGATATGGCCAAATGTCTGCAATCTAAAAGCTGGACAAAACAACAGACGTGCAAAGTCCAAACGTAGAATCCAGAACGCATCCCATGCAACTGGAGCATGTAACTCGAACCAGGTACATTGTCTGGGCCCAAATGTTATCTCCACAGCAGACGGCTTGATATGCCAAAAAAATATAGAGAAAAAAAAGTAACAAGAGCTGGTCAAAATGAAAATGAAATATCATTGCCCGACTTTCATGGGAGCCGCGGTAGCAAAATAGCAGCTATATTTATAAACGGTTTACTATTTTTTGTCGCTGTTGTTGTTGTTGTTGTTGTTGTTGTGGCTGATACTGCTGACAATATCTCGTCTAGACGGCCTATTATTAGAGGCCAAACATTTATGAAATTTATTGTTATAAATTATTAAGCGAAATTTTCCACAACATCGCTTCTGTCTGGCAAATAAACCCAATCAGTTTAAATAGGGCCAATTGCTGTTGGAAAATACCATTAAATGGGCTTACAAATGGATCTTATCTTAGCTGAGCTTTAGGCCAGAGAGTTTATGTTGTTCTGACAACAATTTTGTTGAAGTTCGTAAAATCCTATTCCCATCTCTATAGAGCATAAAGAAATCCAGATATATTGCATAAATGGGCAACAAGACTGATGCAATCTCTGGCTTCGATTACGTTTTGGCAAAGGTTCACAGCACGCGCGCGCCAGAAGAATGTCACTTATCAAGCTCAATATGATGTTTTATTATTTTCGGAAGAGGCGGGGGGTTGAACGACATTGACATCCAAGGCGATAAGCCGCAGGCGGCGCAACACGTGCGAGCTTTTGGGGACAATCGCACCTGTATCATCGGCACGGCCAACCACACACATTTCGCAACACTGTTTCGAGGCTTATAACGGCACTTACGCGCAGCACAAAGTACTCCTGCGATTTTATTTGGAATTGTTGTGGTTGAGCGCGTAGCGTACGAATTTTGCGCGCACGTTTGAACTTGTGATGCATTTGGAACTGTTGTCAATGTGGTCCTGAGCTGGGAGCACATCCCACGAAGTCCGTGGGGTCCCGGCGCCGGCAAACCAAAATAAACGCCCAGCATTGACCCACACGGCGTGCACACGCTGCGGTTCATAAATAAATATTGAAATATTGGTGGTATATAAATAAATGCAATACACATTTGCTTTAATCACAACTATAAATACATGGCGGCAGCTGCCTCACACGAACAGCTCCAGGTTGCTCTGCATATAGCTGACCAAGGCACTCTCGAACTGGTTGCGGGCCATGCTATCCAGCTGCAGGTTCATGCTCACATAGAACTGGCGGCGGTAGCGCATGCTCAACTTTGTGGCCAGCACCACGGAATCGCTCTGTCCGCTCTCGCCCATAAATGTGGTGGACACTATTTGCTGGCTGGGCGGACGTGCCGGCATGGCAATGGCGAACTCGTCCAGGCGCTCCGCATCCTTGCCGCTGAGGAATAGCATTGTGCTGCCGTTCATCTTGAGTACGCGCAATGTGACCTGCAAAGCGCCCGCATTCAGTTGGGCCATGTGCGAGCTGAAGGCTTCCCCGGCAGCCGGCAGGGGCATTTGTTGTTGCTTGGGCGCATTGCCGCAGGCTTCCATTTGCTGAGTTGGTAAAACGGTGCAGCTTTCCATTTGTGTAGTTTGCCGTTTTTTGGTAAAAATTGAAGAGAAATGCAAAACTTCTAGAATTTACAATGAAATGCAGTTTTGTTGTTAGATAGCAGTGTTGCAAAACAGTCCAGCGGCGCAGCGCTGCCAGCTGGTCCAACGCTGTGTTGGTTAACGCTTGACTTTAGGCGCCAAAGCGAATTGAACTTGAATTTTTGAGGCGAATTGAATAAAAACGCAAAATATTCGCCGTTCGCAGTGTTGTTTTCATTTTATTAAGGCTCTATTTGAATGTGGGCGAGTTTTTTTGTTTTTCCTATTTCAATTTCGAGTTAAAATACATACATATTACGATTTCGATGCTAGCTCCGAACATGCGAGCTGTTCTGTGTACATTTATGGATACATAAGAATCAGGTTTTCCTGTTTTTGTTTATTTTTGTTTTTTCTTTCGATTTGAACTACTTAAATACAATATATATTTGAGGGCTGTGCAAGTAGCAAAAGCAAAATCAAATTAAGTGGAATTCATATAAAATTTAAAACATTTTGCTTAAAAGATCAGTTCCGCTTGGATTAGGGTTATTCAAAATGAAATTCACTAATTAATTTATATACTTTGTATGGTTCTTTGTTCTCTGAAAATTCGCATTGGAATCGTATTTAGTTAAATATCATAATGTTTATTACGTTTGCGTCTATTGCCGTTTTATTTATTTGTGTGGTTAATTGTTAAAGTTGCTTGAACTTGAATGAATATCAATTAATTTGGATTAAACTTGTAGCTTTTTTTCTACTATAATTTGACTAACATTTGCAACCGCGATTTCAACTTTCATCTTGTTTTAGATAATGTATTAATGTTGATTTTTTTTTTGTTGTTGTTGTTCTTTTTGCCCTTTTGTTTTTTTCTTTGTTGAAGGTTAATTTTTTTTTGTTGCTTTGTTTTTTTGTTTTTTTTTTACGTTTTAGCTGGTTGCGAATAAATATATATATATATATAGAGAAGTGTTATTACATATATAGTATGTGTGTGTGTGGTTGGTTATTATGCATTTTGGGTATTTCAATCCTCATCGTCCTCAGATTCGGCCTCCTGGAGCCAAGTCAACCAGGCGTTCACTTGGAACAGCGCCGAGCCTTTGCCTGGGTATTTGTCAGAAATCTCCTCCTTCCACAAAACGAACGCCTCCTCCTCAATGATCTCGGAATCGTACAGATATTTGAACCAGCGACAAAGCATACCTGAAATATGAAACATAAATATTAGAATAGATCTAGAAAATAGATGATTCTGAGATGGTATCTCACCCTTGGGGAAGTTCTCGTTGTAGCAGAAGAGCTGCAGGGCGTAGAGCGCCATGAGTTGCAATTCGTTTTGGCTGAGGAAGGTTTGCAGCATCTGGCTGTAGGTCTCTAGCATGGCCTGTTCCTTTTGGGTGACCGACTTCTCGGGATGCTCCTTGGGATCCATGTTGCTGGCGAGTGTCGTCTCCTTGGTTATATACTTGACCACAACGGTCATGAGGGCCTGTATGAAGCCCGGATCCTTGTAGTATTTGTTGTCCACATTGGCCTTGATCCATTTATAGAAACTGTTTGGATTCGGATCGCTCTGCAGCTGCTTGAGCATCTCGGCTTGGACCTTGAGCAGCGGATAGAGGAACGACAGCTGTCGATCCTCGAGAATTTCAGCCAAACGCTCCTTGTTGCGATCCACCTCGGGCAGGCTGTTCATTAAATCAATTTTGCTTGCACGGAACTTCTCCTCGAGCGCATCCTTGCCAATTGTCTTGTGCAGCTGCTGCAGCACGAGCAAAAACAATGGATAATGCTGTCCATTGTCCGTATAGTTGGCAATGTCATTTAGCTTAATTAGTGCCGGCTCACAGACCGCCTTGCTCAGCACAGAGGCGACCAGGGCGGTTATCCGTGGATTCAGTGCCTCGCGCTCGTTCATTTTGTTCACCAGCTGCTTGAAGATCTCAACGATGACATTCGGCTTAATGCTGGACAGTTTGCGCAATGTCTGCAGGAAGCGCACGATACGCTCCAGGTATACATCATTCACACGGTCCAGCACCTCCATCAGCAGATTGAGGCACACATCCTTCAACGCTTTCTCCGGCAGTTTTAGCTCAACGAAACCCTCTACCAGTTCCGTAAATTGATCCGGTTTTGTGGTTTCCATTGTTTCCGATTCGTTTGGGGTTTCGGCCGTAATTTCATCATTTACAGTTAATTCATTATCATCATCATCATTTGGCTCCTCATAGTAGAACTTCTCCTTAAAGTAGGCGGTGGCCTTCTTAGTCATCTCCTCCTTGCTGGGTCCCTTGTCCTTCTTCTGCTGCTGCTTGCTCGAATTGGAGCCCGACGGTGTTGTGGGTCGCTCCAATGCGCCATTCTTAGCCAGCTGTTCCTTGCTATCAGCCCCCCCAATTGTCTTCTGCTCCAGGGTGTGTTCGGCTGCTGTTAACTGTCCGGCTGTGCCGAAGTTTGGCGACGAGGAGGTCGCCTTCAGGCTCTTCTCGCCCAGCTGATGGGTCGCGAGCAGCGAACGATTATCCGCACCATACTCAGCCGAAGGTGTGGACGATGGACGTGTCGGATTGTTCATTAGATGCGATGTGGGCGTGCCCAACAGCGGATAATGCGAGTTGGACAGCTGCGAGCTAGAGTTGCCGCTGGGCGGCGTCGAGATGGGCAGCGTGGCCGGGAATTTCTGATTCTGTGAGGCAGCACGGAACAGCAACGAGTTGGCCGCCGGGCGCATTTGCAAATTCTCAACCGAATCCTGATTGGTTGTTATCAGATTGCGCTTAAAACGCGGCGCCAACTCCTTGCCGCCCAGCATCAGCTGATTCCCGCTGCCGTATTGCCCGTCATTGTTGCGATCATTGTTCCGATCGTTGTTCCGGTGCGAGCCGCCGCTGCCGCGAGAATCGTCGCGATTACCGCCGCCTCCACCACCTCCTCCTCCTCCGCCGCCGCCGCCTCCTCCTCCTCCGTTGCCAGAACCATTCTGATTGCTGTGCTTGTTGTTGTAACGATTGTTGTAGTTGCCTCCGCCACCTCCACTTCCGCCGCCGCCGCTGTTGCCGCCGTCACGATCACGATTGCGATCGCGATTGTTGTACTGGCGATTATCACGATCACGATCCCGATCACGATCCCGATTGTTAGCGCTTGTAGCAAAGCTGCGAAAAAAGAGAAAGAGAATTAGATTGCTGTATAATTCGACTCGAATCATCCATTTTTCCCGGCTATACTTACGGCGATACAATTGGCGATGCGCCCGTCACACTCAGCCCGCTGAACATGTCATTGTAGGCGCCGGGCTGTATATTCAAATGGAATCGATTCATCCAGCTGTCGCCGTCGCGATCATTGTTGCGCATATCACGATTGCGATTGGCGAACGGGGTGCGGATAATTGAGTCGTCGTCCGAGCGTATTTGCTTTATGGGGACGGGTCCGTCGGAGCTGCCGCCAACTTTGCGCGGTATCCAATGATTTTGTCGCAATTCGATGACATCCTTTAGCATGAAGCGTATCCTTGGTGGATATTCAGTTGATTTTGAACGACGTTCCAACGTCTCAAAATACTGGTTCATCAGCTCTTTGCCCTGTTCTGAATCCAGATTCTTGCCGCAAGTCTTGAGCAATTGAGCCAGGCATTCCATGTCCTCGCACATTTCCTGCGCACCGGCCGTACGCTTCTTCTTCTTATCCAATAGCTCCATAATGCACGCGTGCAATACATTCTTGGAGAGCATATCCAACTTATTGAGCTCCCCAATAAACTTGACATTGCCCAGCATACGCTGTTTGGCCAAATGACGTCGCTCCTCCTCGTCTGCCTCATTCTCGGGCGGTGGTCGATTATCGTTCGCCTCATCCCGCTTCAGTCGATTGTTGAACTTGTCCCGACAGACGGCGATCAGCAGGCGCAGAAATGTGCACGAATTGTTTGGTTCCTTTTCAAATGATGGCGCTTCCTCGGACAAACGCTTGCACAGCTGTGCATACATAGACGAGTATTTGGGCTCGTCCAATGCTTTATCGAAGATCAGCAAGATGACACCGTTCAGTATGACAATTGAGTTAAGATCAAGCTTGAGCAGCTCATCGCTCAGCTCCTGGAATTTCTCGGGCGTCAATTTATTCAATATACCGCGCACACGCCGGAATACTGCATCATTTTTCTCGCTCTGCGTCAGGCCATGCTGTGGACGCAGCGATGGCGGTATCCAGCGTCCAGTTATGGGCTGCTGCTGCTGCTGTTGTTGATGCTGATGTTGTTGCTGCTGCTGTTGTCCAGCTGAAACAGTTGTTGCTGCTGCTCCTCCTGCTGCTACTGCTCCTGATCCTCCTGCTGTTGTTGTTGTTGGCGGTGGTGTTGTGGATTTGTAGCTTTGTTGCTGTTGTTGCTGCTGCTGTTGTTGTTGGTGCTGTTGCTGCTGATGCCTCAAGCTTTGTCCACGCTCGTAACGCTCCTCGTTGTTGCTGCTGCGATAACGATTTGAGGCGTGTCCGCTGCGTTCGCCTCCACCGCCGCCGCCTCCTCCACCGGCGCCGCCTCCTCCTCCGCTATAACGTTGATGTCCCGGCGATTCGTCTGCGTAGCTGTCCCTATAATTGTCCCGATTATCCCGATTGTGGTCGTCGCGATAGCGTCCGCTCAGGCTGTGGCCGGCATTGCTGTTGTTGCCATCGTTGCCGTTGTTGCCGCCGCGTTGTGCTCCGTAATTTGATTTGCCAATTGCCGAGTTGTTGCTGCTGTAATGACGTTGTTGCTGTTGCTGCTGTTGTTGTTGCTGCTGTCCGCTGCTGCTGCTGCTGCTGTTGTTGATGTTGCTGCTACTGTTGCCATTGCCATTGACCGTCTCGTAGCGCCCGCCGCTGCCGCGATAGCTGCTGCCCGAGTTGGTGTTTAGATTGCGATTGTAGCTGACGCCATCGGAGCTCGTGTGATAGTTGTTGCGACTACCACGATGCACTCCCAGACTCCCGCCGTTATAGTTGCTCGAGTTGCTATCAGCGTTCAGCGTTTGCTGACTGCCGCCGCTGCCGCCGATGTTGTTGCTGCTGCTGCTGCTGCTGTTGTTGTTGTTGCTGTTGTTATTGTTGCCGCTTGCACCCAAAATGTCACTATTTTTGTTATAGTAACGCGACGACGACGAATCGTTTTGATATGATCGTCGAGGTCTTGGGCTTAGCTCCGAATCGTGTTGACGAATTTTGACGGTATTCTTATTATAGCCAGTGGAGTAGTGTCCGCTTGGGCCACCAATTTGTCCGCTCACGCCAGCAATTGCTGATGAGCCGCCGCCGCCGCCTGATCCTGCGCTTGAACGGCTGCCGTTCCTTCCACCCAATGGGGATTCGTTGCTGTTGCTGCTGTTTCCAGTAGCCGATTTGTTGGCACGATAGCTGCCGCCGGTATGATTCGTGGCGTTTGTTGTGCCCTTATCGATCTTGA